GGGTTAAAATTGCAGTGAAAATCGGCGATGTGAACCGATACTAATTGCAGTGAAAAGATTCGGCCCCCAAACTCTCGGGACTTTCATTCGGCTTCTGCCACTAGGCTGGTGACGAGCTAAAACTGCGGTAAAGTCCTCGCTCGAACGGCGTTGATTGTACAGCCTAAGCGGCCATGGGGGTCACAAAACCTATCGGTATGTTCCGCAAAATGCCCTAGCTACATGACGTAAGCACCAAACGTAAAATTAGCTAAGATATTTGACATTGCCATGTAATTGATCAGCTCGAGGTTAGGTGGGTCATCGGAAAGCCTAGGGTATCGGAGTTTGAATTTATCTGGTAGGGAATCTTCACGACAGATTGTTCAATTTACTTGGAATGCAGGACCTGAGTTGAGAAATAACACGCGATTTTATTCCAATCATCCGACAGCTAATCTAAATACATTGCCCCTACTGAATCCTGGACTTAAGAAGCTCCTTAACCTGCTCTTCAGTGACGCCCTTGATACCAACCAACTCGTTATCAAGCTTCTCAAACTTGGGAACACTCTTCTCATCAAAGATGGCCCTGAACAGATACGGCGCAAGAGTAGGCCAGTCAATGATTCCCTTGGCGATGTTCTCGTCAGACTTGGCAGTAACATCATCAATCTTGACATGCTTCACCTTCCATTCCTTTCCAGTGGCTTGCTTAGCAAGTTCAAGAATCTTGTTCTGTGTGAGAACAGTATCTTGAACATAAACAATTCGGTTCTTGGTTTCTTCGGGGTGGGTGAGGATGCCGACTACTGTCTGGCCAACGCTGGCGAGAGTGGTGGTGCTGAACTCAACATTGCCCTCATCCCAAATTGTAACCTCTGGCTGAGAAAAGTCGAAAAAGAAGTTGTTCTTGATACCCCAGTCCAAGAAGATGCCGTTGTACACGGTCGTATAACTAATTTTATCCTTAAGTTCAACAAGCTTATCCTCAATCTCAACCTTTGTTCCAAAAACGGGAAGTTTTCGAACGCTGGGAATGATAAGGTTGGAGCCGAACTCCGATGGGATAAAGCGCTTCACACCGGCAGCCACCGCAGCGTCGATGAGGAGCTTTTGGCTGGGAATTGCGAGACTGCCGACGGTTGAGACGACGGCGTCAATGCCTTGGAGGGCTGAAGTGAGAGAGTCAAGGGAGTCGTAATCGACTTGGATGACTTTGACGTTTGATGGGAAAGTGCTGGTTGAGGTAGTGCGGGTGAGGACTGTGAGGTTGAATTGGTTGGAGTCGAGGAGGGCTTTGAAGACTGCTGAGCCGAGATCTCCAGCTGCACCAGCGACGGCGATGTTCTTGTAGGCAGACATTGTTGTTGATATTTTATTGTTGAAGTTGATAGTGGTTGTTGTAGTTGTTGGTTGTATGAGTAGATGGTTGAGTGATGAGTGTGATGAATTGAATTCTTTGGAGGTGAGAGATAGATGTATATATAGCTCAATTGGGAGTCTATCAATGATGTGCTTCCATGGAAGTATTTACTAATTACACGAAGGATCATACCATATCTCGGGATAAAAGACTATGATTGCGAATATGCTTATCTTATCCGACACTAATGATTCAGCTAGTTCAGCTACAATCCTACATCGAATAGTATTACATGATCAATATTTCAGCCACCCTGTCTCTGTTTGTGGCTGTGGTGGCGTCAATGTGATGGGATGGGATATAAAGCGGGACAACGAGGAGGGTGGGATGCCGAGTGGGATGGAATGCCCGCGGAACCGTAATCTATTCCCAAACTTAAGGCGTTTCTGGAGAGACTCTATTGGTCAAAAGTCACATGTGAACTCCATCTTCCCACCGCGGACTCCGAAAATATCATCCCGCTGTCACCACCGGTCATCCCACCCACGATTACCAAGTCAAGCCTCAAAAGATATTGATATGCCCAGTACGTAACTCAGTCAGCCATTTGTTTTGTTCGTTTTTCTTTTTTTCTCCATCATTACACATAATCCCACTCGGTTGTGTCTACGCTCATTTTACGTTTTGACCACCCATATCCACACCCATCATGGACGTATCCCACAGCGAAAACGATTCAAATAACAGGTGGGATATCCGAGTCAGTATGCAGAGTTTGACCGAATTGACCAATTATTAGCGAACCTGCCGCTCCTTCCCGTCATGTATGTCACTGCGGTAAGAGCTTTATCAGAAAGGAACATCTTCGTCGCCATCAAGCCACACATGGAGAACGCAATTTTATATGTCCCATGTGTCAGCGCTCCTTTACGCGCAAGTTAGTATCTACTCTCCGTCCAATCATCTTACATACTTAACAATCTCTAGTGATTTGCTAAGACGGCATCTCTCACGGCATGATATGCCCACTGCGCCGGACCCACGACGCGGACGCGCTTGTGATGCGTGTCATGCTAATAAAACAAAGTGCGATGGTGGAACAAAGTGTACTCTTTGTATCAAACGGGGAATATGCTGCACTTACAAACACGCGAGTAAGAGTGGGAGTAAGAGTCCCCTCGATGAACGACGGAATACACCAGAGAGCGTATCATCGCCTTCTCCATCAGATGAAATCAAAGCCGCCTTCAAACGTATCGGCAATAGTGTGCGAACAGGAGAAATACCCATCGGCGAAGCAACACCCATCCCAGCAGTCGAACATCCTTGGATCGACGCAAACACGAAAGAGTATTTTGGAAGATTACATGACAGCTTCCCTCTTCTTCACGCGCCTTCTTACAGGATCGGCATGGAGGATTCATATCCAGTTGCAGTCTCTGTGGCCATGATAAGTTGCTGGCTGAGAAATCCTGATGAGTTTGGGCCGGTGTGTATGGAGTTGCATGAGACGTTTTTGAATGTTTATTCTGACTTTCTCGTAAGTTGTCTGCCACAGTTCAAGGGCTATGCTGATGTTTGCAGTCGAATACATTGTCGAGACTTGAGGATGATAAGCCTTGGCCGATAGAAACGTATATAGCTATCGTTCTGCAAATCATTTTTGCATTCTATCATGGGGTATGTACACCATCACCACGAAGATATCTCAGCTACTAACGTTGTTTTAGAACGAGAGATTAACCGCCAAAGCTTCACTACTACGAGGCACGCTCATCATGGCAATGCGAGAAACCGACTTCTTTAACAGCGACGGCTCAGCGGAACAACAGCGAATTCACTTCCCAGGAACTTTCGTGCCCTGGCTAATGGTAATCCGGGATCGATGGAAGCGGTATGTGTCCTCTCCTCCTCTGACGTTCCTCACTAACATTCTAGAAGTGTCATCATCTCTCTTTTTAAAATAGACACCTACTACTCTCTAGCACGCTTCCAAGCACCCACATTCTACAGAGAGGAAATCGACCTCACTATGCCAGCGACATATTCTCTCTGGAACGCTTTCGGTCTTGATGTTTTCTTCAAGCGTATTACGTGGGAACCGACCGATAGATCAACGTTTAAAATGTCCGAGATGATCGCTAATCCAAATATCTCTGCGAAATCTCTCATGCTTTTCGAGGATATTCATCTTGCTCTTTGTGGTTTGTTACCGGCGATCTGGAATCATGCTCAGGTTGTGCGACGAAGCGCCGAAGCTGGAAGATCGACACAAAATTCTACTGCGTCGTTGGCGTGGCAGCTAGAGGCGTGGAAAGCGGATGTTGAAAGATTACAGCATCAGTGTTTTCAAGCTTTTCATGGTGCGGGAATGGGCGAGTTTCCATTTACAGCATATATTGGAGACTTTGACAATGACCCAACCCAGGCTAAAGCTGCGGCTATGGTTAATATCAAGTGTTTGGTTTCGGATTGTATGATGGTTTATCATCTTCAGAGTTTACAGTTGTACTCTGATGTACGAACCATCAACGCTGTGGCTAAAGCTTCAGTAGCACCGGTTTTGACAGACCGTGAACCTACAATCCGTCCACGTCTTCAAAAACTTCACAACAACCTACGCGTCTGGACAAAATCCCCCGAATCTCGCCGCGCTGTTCTACACGCCCTAGCAGTCCTCCTCTCCAGCGAATCTGCCCTGGCGTCCAACTCGCCTCAAACCCAATCCCTCGACCCAATAGCCTACCTCGCCACCTCCACCAGCTTGCTAGTAGTCTGGGCTTGGCTTTTATTCTCAGAAGCAGCATGTTCTTGCGTTCCTAGCTTGAATCACATCAACGTTGGAGTCGACCCGCCAAATCTGCAGAATATCAGTATCGCGAGGCTAGACAGTTGGTGTCAGAATGATGGGACTGCGGCTGTTAGTAGTATTCCGCTTTGCAGATGTGTGGCCGATGGGTGGATGGCGAGGTTCAATGCGCTTTTGCCGCAGGGGAGGAGGAGATGGGGGCTGTGTACTGAGGTTGCGCCGATTTTAAGTTCTCTTGGTGCTGGGAACTGAGAGATTTGATACCCTTTTTTGTTACAGGTATATACTTCGTTATGATGTATTTAGGATATCTACATATAAGTGTACATTGGAAATGCTCACTGGTTGAGCTTGGACAAATATAGAGCGTCATGAGAACTAAACTGGCTGTCTACTATGTCCACCTATGTGACATGAGGACTGAGCAATACCAACCTCTGTCGCGTCTGAAGAGGTTTCCACGCGATGATAGGTTGTGTAGATGGAAGACATAGCCTATCACAGCCCCATACAGGGGGAGACGTCATTTGTACCAGCTGACGTTTAACATGACATTTTGCCCTTCACTGCATTCTTAATCTCACCCTAGGCCAATTGGGCTTACCAGCTTAAAAGACCTTCATGTATGATAGGCTGGAAGTGGAGGCCTCCCAGAGAATGTGGGGACGCAATTCTTTTAAGCCCCTCGGGTCCCCGAGTATGAAACCTCCTACACGCTTCTTTTCACTGCAATTTTAACCC